TACATACCATGCTAAGTACGAAACAGATCATATAAGTATGTATATATATATATATATATATATATATATATTTATATGATCTTGTGTGAGAACCAATCAAGACGAATATCATGTTATCAACCAAATTAGCGTTGTAGTCAAAGTCAATAAATCTAATCAAATTCTGTCGTCTAATAGTTATATCTCCACCTTGATAACGATTGGTTCATCTTATCTATTTGTTGAACACGTTCTTGTGCCATGTGCTAAATCTTCGCGCGAATCACGCAGCTTTGACGTGATGCCCGTCTACGCATCACCTCTTCAAAGTGAGGCGGCTAAACCCAACTTTGACAGCTACGCCTAGCTGTGGGTAGAATGAGACGGTGCAGCTGCACGATTGAAGCTTCTTCGAAGCCCAGCGAGAGCACTTGCACCGCAGATGGGCTGCATGCAGCTGAAACTGTGCTGCGCAGACGCAGTATGGGCAGCAACATGGACCAGCACAAAGACGCGACTTCAAGCAAAAAGCCAGTGACGAACATTGCTTACCATGATGAGGCCTGCTTCAATTTATGGACCATTGACTCTGATAGCCAAGATGGCGTCATTCAAAAATTGAGTTCTCCTCCCTAAAGGGAGTCGATGAATTCCGACACAGAGCTTGTTAATTTGTCCACAGCGTTCCAATGAGGATCCAAATACCTGTCGCAATCGGGCCACGGCTGCAAAACTTCTGCTACTCCACAGGCAGGCAGGCTAGGCTCTCGCATCTACGGTCAAGCAGAGCTAACACACCTGTCAGCAGTCACCTTCATCATGCAAAGGCTCACTGGGCTCCGATTCTCCTCTGAGACTTGTAGAAATCCTCGAGCCTTAATGAAGCGGGGCAACATAGTGATTCTGCGGACCTCTTCCTACATTCAATGCTACGACCGTGAACAGAATGAAGATGCCTGTGTTGCGTAACGAACAGGACAATATGGGGAACCTCTGTGCCCAATTGTCCAGAGGCTCCTACAAATCTATACAAACCTTGCTCCTGGGCTGCCAGGAAGGGGAAAGATCTCTTCCTGGTACATGTTCTACATGGTCTGAAATGAGATAGTTGGAGTACAAGTATGCCCGAGCCAAAGACACCTCGTCCGGTATACTTCTTCTTCGACTGTATACTTCCAGCGAGGTTCAGGCGCAGCACCCGGTCTTCTGCAATGTCGCATGCGAAGGCATAGCCGAACTAGGTCTAGGAGCTAGTGATGCAGTTAGTGAGCTTTGCAGCTGCAGCCAGGCAGCGACAATGTCTGGCCCTTCTGACCGGAAGTGGCCCTCAGCCGTGACAGGATGAATGTCAATCTTCCTCTGCTTGCTGTCACAAAGTCTACATCTTGTTGTTGCTGTGCCTCCTGTTTTGCTTTCGTAGCTATTGAGGCTGCTGTTCCGGCTGCTGAGGCTCTTCGATACAAGGGAGAAAGATTGTCTTTATGTCTCGCAACTGTTCATGACGACAGCAACCTTCCCCTACTACCTCCGGGCGTAACACCATGTCGTGCTGCTAGGTCCACTCGGTTTCAGAATTCTTCATCAAACATCTCGCCGACGCATGTCAGATAGGATGCCGGACATGACTGCCAACAAGCCCGAAGTGTCATAGAACTCTTTGGGCCGCACGAGCCGAACTGCGACAGCCTGCCACTATGGACAGTTGGCTTAGACATTGAAGGTGGATTTGGTTGGCAAAAAGCCAATCTGATTCCAACCCTGCCAGGTTTGCCAGAAGCTGAGGAACTCGTCAAAGCCAGCCTTGCGGCGAGAAAGCGCTCTTCATCTGCGGCAGCAACGCTGAACTCTATTGACTCTATTGATCGCGCTCTTCAAGCACATTGGACGGCCTTGCCAGATCCGTCCACGTCAATCTCGTTCCAGAAGTAACCTGAAAGGAAAGGTTCCCGTCGGATTTGCTGCACTAGCAGCTAGCGTGCACAGCGACCCTCGCCAGCAATCTAACCAGCAGCTGCAGCCGCAGGGGGACTGTGCAACTCATGGCTGGAGATTTTTTAATACAAGTGAAGTCTGCCTCCCGACAGATTAGCACAATCCCGTCTGAATCTGTTTCCGACAGACACCAGAAAGATCGAGAGGGCAGCAGAACGAGCAACACAGACCCTGGCTAGGCTTTGCACTCAGACCTAGTTTTATCCCTGGCACATGAGCTTGCTCAGGAACCTGACCCTCAGAAGCACTTAAACAGCAGCGAAGATCTAGGCCCTCGACGGATTCGCGACTCTGGCATGTCGAGGTGGGCCGGAACTTTCAGGACCTAGGGCCGCCCAGGACACCTGTGCCTCGAAATTACATGCAGATCGAACAGCTAGCAACGACCTTGAACCTCCCACTCTTGCATGGGACAACAGCAGAAAGTTGGCAGATGCAATGGCCTCTCGCAGAATGTTCTCGAACTCGTGAATGTCAACCTGCCGTCGTCACATGCTGCGACAGAGATTGGGCTGTAGGTTCCAATGGCTTGCATATGGGAGTTTTCGAAAATCAGGGTACCTTACTTGGGTGTCCTTATAATAAGGATCCTACTATTTAGCGTGCTATATTAGGGTCCCCTATCTTCGGAAACTCCTATATTATATATATATATATACCATGGCAGAGCGATGCACAACTAGCAGGAAGCAAGCAGCAAAGGGTCAAGGATCACTTTAGCAGAGATCGGCCCCGAAGCTGGCTGATTTGCAGACACAAGCCGCCAAGGTCACAAGAAAGTGTACTGTCAAGCTGGACATGCACCACACTGGACAAAATGAGTATACGCTTGCATTTATGCCTCCCCGGATCCGTCCACATCGATGGAGTTGAAGGACTTCCTGCTTTTGTGTGCTGAAGAACATGAACAACCCCTGGGCTTCCGGTTGAGCCTGACACCCGGACAGTCGCACCGTCACAGAGCCCACATTTAACTCGACATGTCAGATTTCCAAGGCATTGTTGGGATCTGTGGGAGTTGTTAGAGTCTGAGTCTGAGCTACTTGGTCACAGATTCATTGCTGACGGCGCTGACCCCGGGTCGGCGGACCGAGTTTGTGGCAGCCGCCGCCCAAAGCTGACCATGAAACAAGCATGCTGCGAGAGGCGAACATGTCTGAGTTCTACCCAGCAGGCCTGACCCTGTCCATGCAGAGGGCATCCAAATTGTTGGCTTTCGCAAGCAGCCGGAGGCGGATCTCCTCCGGCAAAGGGCGGATCTCATCGCCGGTTTGCTTCCCGCGATAAAAACAGTTTACAGGTCAAGCGGAGCGTACTTCATCGACTTTTCACAGGTGTCTCATACATGTCGCTTCGCAGCTGGCAGTCCCTGTCATCAATCATGAGCTCAGTCAGGAATCCAGTGCACCTGAACTGGCAGCATCAGCATCCTGTCTTCGTCAATCCCTGCGCTCCGCCCTGTCAGTCGCATCCAGTGTGCATTAATATCCGTCTCAGGCTTCAGTCTCACAGACTTGGCTCGGCACGAGTACCAGATCAAGAAGCTCTCAAAATCCAGTTCGAACACCCCTTCGGGGGCAAACCTTGGTGCCGCCGACACGATAGTCCGAGCAAGATGTCTCAACGTGTTGCGCCTGCATCGCAGCATCTTCGGCTCACTTGCATGCGCTGCACAAGCTTGAGGAGCTGCTTCATCTGTACACCTCCTACCAGCTGTTGAAGTGCTGCTAAAACGCGGCTACACACGACACAACGACGCTGATCGATGCGGTCAATCTGAGAAAAAAGGTTTCGTTCGGCAATCAGCGGTTGGAGATGCAGCGCACTTCTGCAGGCGCCTAGAAGCGCATGCTCTCACAGCCAAGGTGCTTGAGCCAGTAGTTGAGCAGCCTCAGCAGACTTGGAAGCTGGAGGTAACTTGTCGAGCATAAGAGCATCTTCATGACTGGTGCCACGGTGGAAAGCCTTCTCATTAGAGGAGCTGTTGCTGAACAGAATATACCGCACCCTACAACATCCTCGAGTAAGGTACTGCAGCCTCGTAACCGATTTGTCTGGCCAGATTCGATGCGGTAATTGACGCAGTCCTTGTCCGCAATCTGAAACTCCTCGGCTCGGACAGTCAACGGGTCGTGGCAGTATGCACAATGAATCTCCTGAGTCGGCCTGCAGGTCGAATCGAGTTGTCACTTGGCGAATCACCACCGCAAACCCAATCCAGCACCATTAGACAGGCTTCCATAAGTGTTTCGATGACCTTCGCGATCTCGTCGAGACTGAGCATCCCCGAGCCGTCAAAGTCGTGATCGTCGAAAATCTCCTCCAGCATTTGAAGACCGGATGGTGATTTCAAGGCCAGAACCGTCGTTGCCAACGCAACTGAGACCCACAGACAATACTATCCACCCTACCAACACCCGGCAATGCTAGCCGCTAGCCTTCGCAACGATGACGCTTTCCACCGTCATGTTCATCTCCCGCGCGAGTTCTGAGCAACGCTGTTTTGGACACGCTGCACCACAGACTAATCTACGTAGAGCATCATGAAGACTGAACTGCACTCTCAATCGGCGATGCCAAGGGTTGCCCATGGCAAACTCTCGTGAGCAGTCTGCGAGTTCGAGACTCAACCGAGTAGCTGTGCAGCTTCCATCGTGGGATGGAGCCCTCGCCACGAGTCCTGAGCTTTCGGTGCACGAGGCATAGGCTCCGCTGCTACATCCCTTCCACACCTGCAGAGCATCTTGCCATTCACAGTAGTAACTAGTGCGTGTGTGAGCACATGCAATCTCCTAGAGAGCGTTTCAGTCCATCCACAGGTCAGTCGCAGGAAGACTATACGTGTGTGTGTGTGTGTGACCCTGCTACGGCAGTTGCATGCCTGGGCGTCACCTGTGTCCTATGCAGGCAGAGTTCTCGTCCAGGCGCAAGGTATTCCCAAACACCTTCGGAGCACGTGAAAGACCGCAACGCACCGAGTCTTACGCCAAGGCAGAGGCTTGTCTGCACTCTGCTGGCAACCAGCCAGCGGTTTTTGATCATCAGCACAGTGCTGCCCCAGGATGCAAGCTCCACGATGTTCCACACCCTCTCAACCAGTGTTGCATCGCTTTCCCGAGCCTTGCTGTCGAAGGTGGATTTCAGAGATTTGGCCATGTCCTGAAACCATGAATAGGACGAATAGGAAGTTTTTGGTCTGTCTTCGTGAATCTGATACCCTTCTTCAGAGATTAAAGCTCCATTCTGCGTCCCAGCTGCCGATGAGAGGGGATTGCTTTGCTGAGAGGGAGAACTCCTCAAGGAGCGACCTTGGAAGGCTCTCCAAACGCAACTCGGCAGTTCCCAGATCACTTCCTGCACTTGCAAGTCGAGCTGCTGCCGCTGAGTGGTCTCACCTGCTACAGACAAAAAGAACAATGCTGTCAATGCGACTGAAGTATCGCAGAAAGCCAGCTTTCCGCCCTATCCCCCACCTTGCCTGCAAGCTGGGCGAGTTTCGCGCCTGTCCGGACAGAGCGCTAAAATGGAGGATTGCGTGAATGCACAATGTGTGACGGGTCGTATTTCACCGAAGATACATGCTTCCGCCGTGAGGTTCAACAACTTCTATGAAAGGGTCATGAACACGAATCACAAACCCCAGCACACCTCAGCAAGCAGCCCCATGTCGAACAATCCCTCTTGACCTTGCCATCTGGTACCTCGTATGTTCAGCTTCCCCTTGGATATTTTGGGCATCTTAGCCAGACCTTCCAGCATCCTACGACCTACGGCATGACTCCAACCTTGCCCCCTGGTGCCAAGCCCTGAACCCGTATGACACCCGGAACATCTCCAAGTCCAATCCTCCTCCTCCCAAAGCGGTCGAAGCCGCAATACCGGGCCTGGAAAGTTGAGGATGATCTCGGAGGCAATGCTTCAGCCTAAGCACTTGGAACTCAAGGGCCGGTGATTCATTTAAAGAAAACCACCAGCCAAAGGAGTCTCGGCAGCTGTGCCCCTTCAGCGGACTCCACCGGATTGCTCGGAAGCACATACACCACGACACATGTACATGGTGCAGAGAACGCCATGATTCTTGTGATTCTTGTGCAGTTACTTGCACATTCGTTTGAGTGCAGTCAAACGATTGATCCGTCCATGCCATCCACAGGGTGCACACAAGTGCACCCTGTGCGCGAAGCACTTGTGAGGCAAAGCTGTCCGCACACGTAATAAGTAGGCTCCCCTAATCATCAGTTGAAGTAAAAGTGGTGATATCACAGGTGATGGTAGTGGCGGTAGCAGTAGTCGGCAGTGGCGCAAACAGAAGCAATAGTGGAAGTAGCATTTGTAGGAGTAGCAGATGCCGCAGCCGTCGTCACATAGTCGAGTCGTAGTCGTCGTCGTAGTAGCAGTAGGAGTAGGAGTAGGAGTAGGAGTAGGAGTAGGAGTAGGACGAGGAGGATAAAGAGTCCGAGTAAGAGTCGGAGGAAGAGTAGGAGGAGGACTAGGAGAAGCAATACAGAAGCAGTAGCAGTGGAAGTAGGAGTAGGAGTGGGGTAGTAGAGGTAGAAGGAGGGGTAGGTGCAGTAGCAGAAGTGGGGCATAAGCAGTAGGAGCAAAAGAAGCGGACGCAGGAGTCGGATCAGGACTTCCCACATCGTGGTGATGATGATGATGATGGTGATACGTATGTTGACGACGATGATGATGACGATGATCTTTGTGGTGATGAGGGTGATGCCGATGATTAAAAATTAGCAGCAGGCGGCAGGCGATGGTGACTATGGAGTAGAGATACAAGGTTGATGTCATGGTGAGGATAAACGCTATCAGACTGACGAACTGCAAAGAGGTGAGATGTGGTGCGGCGAGGACAACTGAGGGAAGGTGACGGGAGGGGAGGTGAGGCGAAGCGAGGTGAGGTGATGTATGGTACGGCACAGCGAGGTGAAGGGAGGCGAAGCGAGGCACAGAAGACGTCAGATATGATGTGCGACGAGATAACAAAAAGTGGTCTCTTGCGCAATCCCCCCTGACTCGATCGTCTTACGACCCTTTTCTCTGGTTCTTGCTCTTGCCAACCTTCCAATTGCAGCGGCTCCAAGCTTTCTTTGATCGCTGTAACTGCACTTGCTCCCAAGCTTTGATTGGTGACAGCTGCCTTTAATCTTATGAGAGGTATGGCTCTTGAGTCTTGCTGCGACTGCTACTCCTCTTACCTACCGCATGCGTCGTGCCCCTCGCAACAGCTAGTTCTTGCTCTGGGTCTTCAAATACTACCATCGGAAATATCATGACCCTTGCCACAGGAATGATTCTTGCTCCTGCTGGCCCCATGCTTTTTCGGCGACTTCAAGACCGCGGCTGGAGGTGCCTCCACGTTCAGCACGGGAATTTGTATCTGCCTGGGGAAATACTCCACGGCCAGAGCAGCTCTCCACGCATCAACTTGAATCCCGACCTACTTTTCGGGCACAGTTTTCCATTGTAACAAATATGACAATCAATCTCACACAGGCTGCGCAGGAGGGGCCATGAAACTTGCGCTAGCTCACTTGCAGCTACCCAAATCCCTTCCTGTGACAACCCTAGGGCCAGGGCTTCGGTCCAAAGCTTTCTTCCACAACACCTACACACAATCGTGCTTAAGCAATTTGGGGCTGGTCGCAAGTGACGGTTGCAGCTCCTTCTAAAGCCCTTTTGCTGCACGGGCCTGAAGTCCTACACCCCTAAACCCCAGACCCTAAACCTCCAAACCCTAAATCGCCCCAAACCATAGATGCCGAAGTAGCTGGGAGCATGGCTTTGGCAAAGTGGGCGTCCATGGCCGCCAAGCCGCGGCTCTGCAAGGCGGTGTCGGACCCAGAATATTCCATGTTGTCGTAGCTGTAACCTGAATGCTTATGCCTTATACCACAACTCGGAGGGTAGGACCCTTCAAATCCAAACCCTAGAAGCCGGAAATCTTGCATCGCAGTACTCACACCATCTCAGGCACTCTCTTAAACCAAGGCAATCAAAGACAAGAGCCGACACATCTCCAAAATATTGAAGACAGCGATTGGTAGAGAAGCGTCTTCGATTGCTCTCCCATGCCTCGCCGCGGCACTTGCCATAGCGGCATCAGCAGCCTGCATTGCCTCCGAAATCGAGCTCAGGATTGCTGTCTATGGTTTAAGGTTTCGACGCCTCAGTCGTCTAATATCGTCTAATGAATGCTCCATCCTGCGGCCGTTTGATGTTTGTCATCCCATTGTGTCTTTCAGGAATAAGCTTGCTTGTACTGTTTGTTGCTCATAGACATGCTGACAGTAGCTCTAGCAACAAATGAGGACGTGATAACAGGCAGCACATAGAAGCGATGTGTGCAACCATGAGGATGGCAAAGCGTGCGAATAATGCCGCGCTAGTTAACTCCTCTGCCGCTGGCCCCACACGTTGGATTCGGGACCGCTTTCGCTGCTTCGCCATATATTATGGGCATGCTCGTCAAGAGGGGAGCACCACAACGTCGAAACGGTCGAATATCGTCCCACGATGTAAGTACGAACTTCGTGAGAGTTTGCCAGGGTTGGATAGCTCAGCTTTGAACAGGCGGATCGCAGGTGCCTTGAGCTCCACGCGCTCTGTGTTTCGACTAACGAGGCATCTGTGCAAGGTAGAGGTACTAAGCGGTAACGGTCACTCTGGTCGTGCTCAACTTTGGCACTGCTGCTGGAGGTGGTACTGACCAACCCTGGTCCTGGCGGGGTGTCACGCGCTCAATAGATGCAGCTAAAACTCTCCACAATAGCGTTCATAAGCATACTAAACCCCAAACCCTGTGAGTGACAGAAGTAGCCCATAGTCAAATGCCTCTGGCGAGGGCGGTGCCTGCCGGCGACCTCCGGGCCCGCAAGTCTACGGCTCTCTGAAGTTCTGGGGTCGTCTAAGTCTGAGTTGTGGCAATGGCTCTGAAACTTGAGGTTTTACGTCCGTTGATGGTTAATGGCAATTTGCATCAGCAGACGTGCTGCCAAATGGGATTCGAGACATAGCCTGCCATGTCCTTAGCAAGGTACCGGCTTCAGTATCTCAGGCGCCTCCGGTTACGGCTTCTTGCTGTGAGAGCGCAGCTACTTGTGATCGTTTGTGCCTGCGATGGCATGGCTGAGAATGGAGCAGCATGTGTCCCGCCAAACCCAAAGGAATACGCCCGGCCTGAACCAGCGCGGCAGTTCCAAGGAGGCTGCTGAACCACTGATGCCCCAAATGGACCTGAGTGCAAGCATAATCGGCCAGAACGATACGGTAACATGTTAAAGTGCTGTCTTCGAGAGGAGTGAGCAGGGAACCTCTGTGGCCCTAGCAGTTGGTGTCACTCGGAATGAGCTTGTGTCTTGAGAAACATCTGGGCTCTTGGCTTGGCTGAGGGCGGCAGTTCCTTTTCTGACAGACACAGTGCAACACCGAAGGCATTCCCTTTAGCCCGCAAAACATTCGGTGATACAGAATCCAGCAGAAGGTTCTCATCAGCAATCCCCGGCACCGTCACTTCCACGGATCGCATCTGGACGTCTCAGTTTGCGATGTGCTCAGTCTAACGACGCCAGAATCTCGGCCATGCCAATGCCATGATAACGGGAACAGCTAAGGCAGTGGTAGTCGTCCTGGTAGTAGCAAGAACAACTGGTACAATTTGCCGGCAACGACAGACAAAGCAACTAGTAGGTCGTAGCAAATTTAGAGTTACAGCCATACTATCAGTTTTCGTCGTCCCGACGATAGAAATTGCAGCAGCAGGGCCTATCGCACGAATGGCAAAAGCCGTGACGACAATGGCTGCGGCAACGCCATGAAGAGTCAGTTTCACGAAGGAAAAACAAAGCACAACAGGCAAACCAGAACAATGATCAGGGCAGTGGCAACAGCAACAACCACAAGAGCCAAACGAACGGCACCAATGCGCAGAAGACTATGATGTCAGTAGCAACAACTAATGGCGACCACTGCCACAATCCTCGTGACAGCAGCTTTGGCGATGCGAGTTACTCGTATCGCAACAGCTGCAAAGAGACAAACACTGAAGACCCGATGATGGGACACTCTCTCCGTTGGAACAACCGCGGACAGGAGCACCAATACTTCGAACTCCGTCCTCGAAACCACGGCTCTCGGAAGCGCCGGTGGCCGAGGCATGCCCTGACTCACGAAGTGACAGCGATAGCTTGATTCTGCTTGCTCTGGCTTGCGTAGAACCCTCCGTCAAGCAGCGAGCTACGCCCGCACAGCCTTGAAGAGCTTCAGATGGGCACTCCGTGCAGCCCGGCGCTGGGGTGCGCTGCGTGGAGGTGGACCTTGGTTCTTCCAATGGCCCAAATGACTCAAATGTACAGGAACGCGCTTGTGAGCTGATGGTGAAAGGAGCGCGGATGCCACGTCGACTTCTGAGCAACTGGCTGCGAGGCGGAGCTGGGACCTGAGACAGTTCAACCAAATTTTCGTTAAAGATGCCTTTAGCTTCGGGTCTCAGTGGTCCAGCGTTAGCCGGAACACGGAAACCGATGGCTCTGGGGGCCTGGCAGGCCTGCTGGTCTCGCACGTCGACGTGGGCCTCCGAAGGATCCTGGCAGAGCTCCCCGCACTCGCCTTCACAACTGGCTCCACACCCCAAAAAAACCGGTACACTCTTAGGAAGCACAGCAGACAAGCTCTGAAACTAACAGGCCACAGCCGCTTTGGGGCCGCAGAGATTGGCTCTGCGATGTCGAAGACTTCGGCAATGCCTCGCGACTTCTGTGTGCAGCTGAGCGGAACTGCGTCCGAAGAAGTGACCTTGTAGCCTTGTGCCTTCATCGACACAGAGATTCTTTCGCAGGTGTCATTGAGCTTTGAATGACATCCCAGCCCACCTCTGCAGGTCTCGAAGAGCAGCTTGAGATATTCTCCTTTCACTGCGGTTCAAGCTTGTTAAGTTAACTTCTAGCTGCTAGCTCTTGGCAAGACGGTTCACAGGCTTCTCTGCAGCGGTTGTCGCAGCTGAGCCCCTTGCTGGCATGGAGGGCTTTGGACAACCGCTGCTCCGTAGTCGCCATCCGGCACTGAAGAGACTGCTCAACATGGGAAAACACTGTCGGTTGAATCAGCTTACCTGAAACCAGCGTCTCCTTCTCTCTACAGTACGGCTGGTGACCTGGAGTGATTTCAGCTGGAGAAGTTTGCTGCAGGCTGCAGACCCACTTGATCACTGTAGAGCCATTGCACCAAATGGCTGTGGTGCGCGTTCTCACGTGAACTGCTTTTTCGATAGCTGTCACATGCGAGTCTCTGCCCTCCATGTCTTCTGAACAAGACTCGGGCGAGGCAGCCAACAAACTTCTGAGTGCTGATGCATCGTATCTGCAGACTGGCCATGTTATGAACGGAGCTTGACACAGCCTAAGATGCGATCGAAGGCTGTGCCAGGAGGAGCTCTGGTCCGCATGCGTTCTTGGATCATTCTGAGAGCAAAGAAAAAGGGCAGTTTAATCGTCAAAGCTGTGTCAAGATAACCACGATGCATCCGCCAATATTCTGTCGACATTATCACAAATCGACCATGATCGTTCGTAACGCTGTGCAATGTTCGCTTGCACGTGCCGCTACTGCTGTTATCCTGGCAAGGTCCACTACTCTTGCGTTTCGGTATGACCGTGATGGTGCTGGCTTCGGTTATGATGATGGTGATGATTTTGCTTGTGGTCGTGGTGGTGACGGATCTGACGATGACGACGACGGCCCCTTTTCGAGCCGCTTCGCGCAGCAGGCCGTCTGAAATGTCATCGAGCAACCTGCCAAAGCTGGCAAGTTGATGTTTTCGAACCCAAATCTCTGTAACGGTGTGGCGTGTTGAGGTTTCGCACTTGCATAGTATGTGCGGTTGCAGTACGCGCGCGCTAGAACTGCGCTAGGCAAGATCAAGATCCCAGACCCACTACCTGCCCACAACCAACAACATCAAAACAACCTCAATCCACCTGCGGAGCGGTGCCCAAGCTCCGGCGCTTCGGCACCCACGGAGTGTTGCTGCACAGCCCACCTGGCTTCCGAGATCTGCGGCTATGAACACTTCCTGCATCTTCCTGCGCATTGGAGCGAAGTCTTTCCAGTGTAACCCTGAACTAGGCAAGCGCGCGGCTATCGAGTGTTGCTCTCATTGGCCTTCACTACAGGACGTCCATCTGGTAAACCGAAAACTGCATACGAATGGCAGGGATCTACCCAAGGCAATGCAGGCCGTGAGCAACAAGCAGACTCTGATGAACGTTAGTTAGCAGACATTACAGCATCGAGCCTCGTCAGGTGAAATCTGGTGGCGTGCCATTTCGGATAGCCTCACTGCACGAAAAGGTGTGCTGTGCAAAACTCGTCCAGGGCTTCTAGTTGTTCAGCCGCTGTTTTTCCGATGACTTCTTTGGGCTGCACCACTCGCCCTGCAATCATGTTATGGCCAAGCGAGATGTGGCAGCACAGCCTAAACTCCTAAACGAGCAATTATGCCGGTGGAGATCACCAAAGAATAAAAGACCGTACCAGAAGCATGCCAGTAGGAGCCGGAAGTCACGACCGCCGTTTCGTTGGTTCGCTATGCTTGAGCAAGTACTTCTCACTTGCGTTTTTCCAGCAGGAGGCCAGTCATCACCCACAGGGAAAATACAGGTCGCAACTAGTTACTACCCGCAGCACAGTCATCAACCACCTGGCCGGTGGTTTACTATGTGGAAGATCCAAGCCCCAACTGGTTGCCTGTCTTGCCCTTCCGGCAAGAAATCCCACGCGCGACATTTGTACTCCAGTTGTTTTCGAAAGCGCGAGTTTGCAGGCCCCAGAGCCCCGGACCCTGCGGGGAGCATTCCACGTACCACATTCGTACTCGAACTACAACTGTACTTGAGAACGCGGGCTTGAAGGGTCCAAAGCACCAGCAGCCTTCGGGAAGACAACCAGCAACCAGGGCATCACCGACAGACCGCGAGGAGACCACCAGCAGATCACCGGGAGACCACCACCAGGTCTCCAGGAGACGCCAGGACAGCGCCAGGAGGCCACGTTTACGCCTTCCCCCAAGTAGTGGAGGGATGCGGGAGGATCCGAGAGCACGGCGGAATCGCTTTTGCCCGGGGTGCCAAGGAGCAGTACGTAAGTGCTCTCCCCCAAGTACTGGCACGTTTCGGGAGCTGACTTATGCTGCCATATGCTGCCCCCTCGTGCTTGAGAGATGCAGAGCAACACCCCAAATCGTTCCCCCCAAATACTGCTGCGATTCAAGGTTTGCTAGAGCCAAAAGTGGTCCAGATCGTACGATTTTACAAAGGATCGGGCTCGCTGGGATGCGCGGCCACACGGATTCGCTATAAAATGCATAAGTAATAAGACCATCTAAGACATCAGAGAAACTTACGCATCGCGCCACCGTGCAAGATCCGCGTCGCGAGCATCCTGTGTAACTACTACGACGCAGGAACCCGATTTGAGCTCCTTTTCGAGGTTCGCCGGCCGCCGCAATCAATTCTCTTTACACTGAACGCAAAAGCCCCATAGTGTGACCACACTGTTTGACAAATCAAATGTTGAGCCTGGGACGGAGGTCTTATAACTCCTCTGTTGATGGACTGCTGCCCTGAACCTTGTTCGTTCTGGGAAGCCTCCAAGGTCATGTCCCACATGCTGTCCCCCAAAAGCCATCTTAAGCTATCGCCTTGCGACCAAAGCTTCTCGACCTCCCACCCACGTTTGCATGACTGCCGAAAGCTACAGGACGGGGCAGAGCAGCCAAACCCCGAAACACTGTCTGTCGAGGTCAAGCTGCGCAGCAACACCACCACGCCAGGCACTGTCGCGCTGACAGGCACGGAGCCTGTGAGTTCGTTAACAAAGGCTTGTGTCGGCGGGGGACTAGTAAAATCCATAGGTCCCCTTACTTTGGATGTCTTCTGTACTTCTAACACGACTTTAGCAACATTCGTCATGCGCAAAGGGTGTGACAAGTATGTATCATGTTCTCAGTACAATGGTCAAACACGTACGAACAGAGACACGAGCCTGCCACCCCACACGGTTGCTCAGCGGCCTGGACTCTTAGATCCGGCGGATCTGAACTCCCTGAGTCGCCTTGAACCGACACCCGCTTCCCCCAGCCTCCATCCGCCAACAGAATATCCCCCAAATCTGAACAGAAACTCCTTGGACCTTGAAGGATCATACTCGGAGCCACGGAGCACAGAGTTAAAGGACGCGAGCCCGGGCCGCAGCCGCACCAAGACCAGGGCGCCCTGGATCTCCAGCGCCCGCCTGAGACACATGTGGGGGGTTGTCAAACTTAGGGTCACTTTTTGGGTACCCTACATATTAGGTGCCGTATTATAATAAGGACCCAAAAAGGAACCCTAATTTTGACAACCGCCCATGTAGAATGAGCATGAAGCTTCAGATAATGTGAACTTAATATCACCAGCGTCGGTAACATAACCAACATCGTCAGCAGCAGCAGCAGCAGCAGCAGCAGCAGCAGCAGCAGTGGCGGCATCAGCATATATCATCATCATCATCATCAGCGTCATGATCACCATTGCCCCTCATCTTCGTCAGCATCATCATGCCGTCATGCAACACAGCACCATCAATCAGCTGCTTGTTCACTGCCGGCAGCACGATAATAGCAATAATCACCATCAGCATCATAATCTTCTTTTTGCTGCTCATAATATCCTTCGTGTTTTTCTTCGGCTTCTTCATCATCAACGTCATGGCCATCGCCCAGCCGTGCTTCAGAAACAGCCCTGCCGTAGTCATGGTTGACCTCATGGTCATCGTCACCACTTCCACGGCAGCCGCCGCCAGTACTACCAACAACAACAAGGAAGGCGTTGCGTCTGCCGCCGCGTGGGGTGTGTCGTTTATGTTTGGGAGGATTTTTGGTCAAAAAGTAGAAAACCCGAGTTTTGTGTGGTATTCGTCAACAAGACGATGTATCGCAGTTTAAAAATTCTGTAGTTCTTTGTCTTGTGTTTTTGGTGAGGTTTTTGCGGAAGTGTCGCAAATACCATGCTTTTCGTCTTTGGTTATGTTGATTTTCAGGCTCATTTTGGAAGTTTTTGTCTGGAAAGCTTCAAAAACTCGAGGTTTTGCATGGTGGACGTTTCCAAAGTGAAGCAACAAGAAACGGCAAGCGCGGGTTGACAGAGCAAGTGGTAGTGTTTGAGAAGTAACGCAACCAAAGAAACAGAAGACACAAGCCGCATTCGCATGGACGGCATCACCCCCCCCCCATCCCCCCACCCGCCCCCGCACAGAGCTGAAAGACAAATTGCAAGTTTAGGCTGGCATGTACACAAAGTCGAGAATCGGCAAAAAACACTGGAAAAACCAATGCGAAATGCGACACATAGGAAACAAGAAGAGAAACAGAAGACACAAGCCGGGTTCGCATGGACGTCATCACCCCCCCGCCCCCCATCCCCCCCAAGCCCTGCACAGAGCTGAAAGACAAATGCAAGTCGAAGCCGGCATGTGCAGAAAGTCGAGAGTAGGCAAAAACACTGCAAAAACCGATGCGAAATGCGACACACAGGAAAGCACCGAAAAAAACTTTACGAAATGCAGAGCCGAACATGAGTTTGCAGAGTGGAGCCCGCCGGCGGGGTCACTTTTTTGCTGGAAAACACTGCAAAAACCGATGCAAAAGCAAAGTCCAACCACCCACACCTACCACACCAACCTCCAACAGCAACCAACCGCAACCAACGGCAAGCAACGGCAACCGACGGCAACCAAGAACAACCAACAACTACCACCACTACCATCACCACCACCACGCCCTCACCCCACTGCCACCACCACCGGCCCACCAAATCATCATCAGCAGCACCAAGAGCAGCGACAGCAGCCGGAAGGCCGTCATCAGTGAAAATCGTAGTTTGCGACATGCTTCACGTCAGACGAATACAAAGACGCTCGATCAAGACATATTCGCTCTCACTTTCGTCTGCTCTTCGTCTCGCCGCCTGTTTCAGGTCCAAGGTCTTCTGTCGAACGAGCGGTCGGCTACATTGGCAAAGTTGGTGGACTGCTCATCATCGGAGTTTGAAAGTGTAAGCGTGGTGATGATGAAATGCTTGTGCAGGTCAGAGCCTTCGAGACAACAAGCCATCCTCAAAAGCAGCACATGGGCAGTTGTCAAAACCGGCCCCAAAATCCTCGAAACCTAGAGCGATTCACGACTCATTAAATCCCAGAAGCCCCCGTACGAATCCGAGCTGCAGCCATCCTCCCGAGATGGAGGTGCTCGCACCCTCCGCGAAAGCTGACATTGCAGCCTTGGAAGCCAGACTGAAATCGAAGGCATCAAAGCTTATGTGGGAGTTTCCGCAAATAAGGGACCCCAAATTTAGTACCGAAGAGAATAGGATCCGTATTATAACGACCCCACAAAAGATACTTACCCTGAATTTTCGGAGACTTCCCTGTCGGCACTGTCACTTCTCTGGGGCCTCGACACTCAGCAAAGAGAAGTCAGGCTGAAGGTGACGAGCATCCACGTCGGCCATCAGGTCTGGGAGAGCGCTGCTCTGCAACGTTCTCAACTGTAGATAACAGCGAAGCCCTTTATCCAGACCCATGTCCTCTTATCACAATCCCAGATGCCTTTATTGCTACCAGTCCAGCTCCAGGCAGCCAAGATTTGAGTACTGGGATTCCATGCCGGTGGCATGCTGCCATGCCGAAGCATCGCCACAAGCCGTGACCGCAGCTGTGACGGACACAACCTTAAAGCTCTATGCCACTATGCCATTGGTGAAGGGATACCGCAGGTGTGTGTCGACTCTTGCTGTGGTGTAGCTGCGACTAACAGGCTGAACATCAATTATGTTGCACAGGCTTTCCAAATGACGACCGCTGGTAGAATCAACTCAGCGCCAACAGCCCTCTGTGCAATGCTCTGCATTGGAGTCCAAGGTGCATCGCAATTATCGGCCATGGCTGAAAGAGCTGCGAGGGACCTCCAAGCCCATGTCATGCGCGTCTGGTGCTCTCGCGCTACAAACAAGGTCCACCCCGCTGCCTCTGCCACTGCCACGCATTCTGGCAAGCTCCGAGGAATGCATTGCACGCGATGACGTTAAGCTGGAGGAGTCGGCGCCGAGCGGCACGGAGCAGCGACCTTACCGCAGCATGTGGGGAGATCCCGGCATCAATGCGCATGCCGCAAGAACGCATCCCAAGCCCCCATGAAAGCCCAAGCGAAGATGAGTAAAATCGCATCTCCAATGCTTGGGGAAGACACAGCCGGCTCCCATTCCGCCGCTTTTTCGCAAGCACTGGTGCTCGCAGCGCAAGTGACGATGTTGGGGTTCCTGACGTCTCACCGAGTTCCAGAGTGACAACAGTGGTTCAACAGGGGCCGAGAGCCTCGTCTCCTTCACCGTCACAGAAATCAGAGCCGAAGTCCCGTTCACAAGACCGCTATTAGTGCAAGTGAGTTGCAAGGTGCAGCGCTCGGCGTGCTCCTGGCTGCAGTGGCTTGCAATCGCTCCCCTCGTGCGCTCAAATCTGTTGAAGGTTGGCAGAAAACGCTCAAATCGACTCTATACATCGCGAGCAGCTGCGCAAATCCAACTCAAACCTCCCCCTTTCATCATAACCGCGGGCATAGGGGGGCCCCTGGCTTTGCAAATGTCCTGCAACTCCAGCGCCCAGGTCCACTGGCCGGCCTTCTCCTTGCCAAGCTGCACAATGGCAGGCTACGAGTTGATTCGTGTGATCGTGTGGTACATCAGGCGTGCTCACTACTCTGCAGGCGGTGCGTGATCAACGCATACCGTCGACGACAGACCCTGAACCCGGCGAGGGAAACATCTGGCTTTGGGCTACTGCGCTGCTACTACTGTTTTTCTCGAAGCAGGAGCCGCCAAATTCCATTGTCCTAGGCAACATCTCGGTGCCAGCAAGACACGCAAGCGCTGATCGCGGCATTGCATGCGATGATGTTGGGCTGAATCTCGGCATCACCTCTGTAAGACATCCCGAACTCACTGTAGACACTGTTGCGACCACTCGACCTCATGCAGCCCTGCCGCTGATCTCGCTGAACAGCCTGAGGGCCATCTGCCATTGCCGTGACTTCTCGCAGCACGAAATCGCTGCAGCAAACGTAACCTGAGTACACTTCTGACCTCTCTGACTCAGAAATGGCCTCTCAAAACCTTCATCTTCGGCCAGAAGCACGTAAAAATGCGAGCCATAGCAAAGCTTGATGAAGGTGATGTAACATCACTGGGCAAGATTAGAACACGCATGCTTCAGAAGGAGACCAGCTAAAGGCGAGTTGCAGAAAGAGTTACGAAGGAAAGATTCACGTTTCATTACATTACTTGGGCGGATCACAGGGTTCACAAAAGTGGCAAAGCGAGCTTTGCGCTACTTACAGGGTTGCACCGGAACAGCGCAGGACAGGTTGTGGAAACCGCACGTGGAAACAGCCGCGGCTCTGAAAACTGCTTCCCTTCGATTAATGGCAACAGCGGGTATGTAGCAAGGATAGTTCCTGTATCATGAGACTAACAGATGCAAAATGTGCTGTGAACTCAGGTGAACTACTTGACGGAAGCACCAGGGCACAAAACAGAATAGCCAAGACAGCAATACAGTAAAAGATAGCAATACAGTAGCACCCTCCCGCCCCGTTCGCCCAAAGACCATCCGGCTCGAGCTTGGGAGGCCTTGAAAACGGCAAGGCAATGGACCATCATTGCAAGGTGTAGGTAACATTTCTGGCGAAGGTTCTTTTCGTTCTTGTCTTCCGCAGCATGCTTAGCTTGCACTAGCACTTCTTCTGATTCAATCTTCCACTACTTGAAACCCAGAAGTGATCAAGGAGTGCAGCAGGATCAGTCGAGCATTTCTTCTCACCGTCCTGGACATGCACCTAAGTCCTAGCCCGCCGCACTAGCTTTTGGATGAAAGGGCCGAGGAGCAACACTTGGCTCTAAACGCCCAGCCGACAGCTGCTCCAGGAAGGCCACGGCCCCCCTGGTTCTCAGAAAGGTGAAGGAAACCTAGATGCGCCCCTGATGTCTTACAAGGAGTACAGTACCGAAGCTCCTTTAGAAGTTTCGCTGTGTGAAAGCATTGCCCGCATTGGTTCCCGATGCGCCTCCAGTCGGCAGTTTTGCCGGCACTGATGGCAGCATTGACTGCCACGGTGCTTGTGCGAAGGCCTGTCAGAACGGGCTGGCATGTTTGTCTGTAGAAGCAGCTGCTGCTGAGATCGTCCTCCGACCGAAACCTTAGTCTTCTTGGAGAGGCGACGTCTAGTGCACCTACATCCATCCGTTAGACCAAATTGTCTTTGCCTTCGCGGAGAAGCTGGTCGTGCAACGCGTAGGCCTGAGACCAAGCGGCCGTGGCAGATAAAGGCAAGCTCATCTAACAGATGGTGCAGTGTGCTGTGGTTGCAAGGATTCAAAGCTCGCAATGGCACTGAGGAGATTCCGCGAGGCTTGAGCTTGAAGATTGCAGACAAAACACCCAACCCTAAACCCGAACCCCACAGCGGTTTCTGGGCGAGTGGCCTGCTCCCACGCTTGGCCCTTTTCCGCAGCGCTTATGGCCGCTCCAAAGGACACCACCGAACCTCAAAGGCGAAGAATCAAACAAAACTGGATTCTTGTTCAGGGATTTAGTTTAAGTTACCATATCATAATAGGGATCTATAGCAGATAATGTGGTTTCTGAATTAACCTAAACTGAATCCCTTAACAAGAACCCAGAAAACTGCTTAGGCGCTGCTTGTAATTCGAGCAAGGCCACCCTCCAGCTCTCGGCGTCGCAGCGTCTGGAGCGTGACCTCCGCTTTCGTGCCGATCCCCTTGAACCCAACTTTGGGATCTACGGTACAAGCAAGTTTAGAAGAGCATCCGAACTGACCAGTGTCTTCACAGTCTGCCTGTCATGGGCCTTGCTACGGCCTTGCTGCTCCTATCAGCAAGATCCAAAAACAGGCAACCCGCCCCACAGAACTGCCAAGGATTGAAACTCAGGCATCTGACCCTTTGAGCCCACAAACCTTGGATTTACAGCCGCGGACCTCCAACAACCTGCACCGCTGCTGGGGTCGTCCGCAAAGCCCAAATCCCGAGCGCTGAACCCTGCGCTTCCCCAAAGCCTGAAACCCTTACGCCTTACATGCTGGGTCAACATCGTGAAGCAGTTTCTTGGATGCGTTCCAGTGTGCCCCGGCAGCAGCCCACTGTCCGCCAAGACCCGACGCGGCTCTCACTGCTACCCCGGCCGACACCTGTGGCAACACTTAGACTTGGTGGGGCGGGGGGGTTTACAGCTGGGGGTTTGGAACCAGCAATACCTAAACCCTCGCCATGCTGATGCGAAGCATGCGAGGCATCCCTCTGTCACAGCCCTTGGTGAACCACATCGCAGCGACTGGCGGAAGGCCCTTCCGGAAAGAGAACGACAGGTAACATGGGAGGTCACGCGGCGACCCTCAAAACAAAAAGGCTGACACTTCATTGCACACCATGATCTCTCAGGAGAGAACGCGTCGAACTTGAAAGGGTATGAACCAAAAACCTGAATCTATAAAAGCTACTATAGCTCAATTTTCGGGGTGAGCCTCATCTTGCTCGAGGCCCTGGGCCTTGAGGTCACAAAGCCCCTGTGCCCACTGGTGAGCACGCACCTGGCTTTCAGGGCATAGAAGCTTCCGAGGAGTCTTCGAGGACTTCTCAAGCTCTCCTGGCGGTTTTGCATCTTCTGATCGCCTACTCAGAAGGCTGGACACTCCTAAGGGACCGCTCGTCGCCCGGGTGGCCGAGGCTGCCGCAACGGCATTGAGAACTGCATTGTGCGTAACGATGCTAGGCTGGAGCTCCTATGCAGCAACGGAATGAGCAGACTCAACCAAGTAGAAGATCACTTTCGTCAGAAATCCGATGGGTCTACATCTGCGTGACAGCTTGCACTCCGCAGCGATTGCCCCTGACAGGTCCTCGCCACGCATGGATGCAACGGCCTCTTGTTTGTTGCAGGAGCTGCTGAAGCAGCGACACAAACAGCCATTCCCTTCTAGATTCTAGCTCATGAAGCAGACAAGCTGACAGCTGGGAGCCTCTCTTGAGAATCATCACCACTCGGGCTTGGGGACTTCCACAAACCTGGCCTGGCAAGCTTCTCGCCATGACTTCTGCGCCCCCAGCTGCGAGATGCGTTTGGTCCACTCCTGCCACCACGTAAACGTAAAAGCCAGCTGCGAGCATCTTTGCGTGGTTGTTGTAACCTTCATGTCAAGAAGTTGCAGCGTGTCCTTGCGCGCGACAACATCGCTGGCAACGGCATCGAGAAGCATGGCGCCGCCATTACTGTAGGCAAAGGTTCGCAGCAGCTTTTGCAATCTCTACACCCCCTTTATCCTTTGCAAGTTGGATTGCCCGCGCAGCATGAGGGGTGAGGGGTGGACGACCAAGCAGATACTTGCTCGACTTCCTTATCGAGAGCACGAGATACGACTAGGTCCCTTGGCAGTTGCATGGGCTTAGCTGTCTGCTATAGCTACAGAACTTGCTTGCCACTTGACCAACTCGGTTGCACAAGAGTTGCTGGCAAACGGCTACTTGCGATTTCTCGCAACATCACAAGCATTGCGTTGGCAGTCATGCTGGATGAAGCTCAGCCGGCGAAGCTTTCCTCCCCAACACGTCAGTACTGCAGTACCTGGCAGAGGCGTGAAGACCACCAATGCCCATGCAACCTTTTTAAAGATCCTGTTCAACTTCGGCCGAGTGGTATTCCGTGCTGGTCTCGGCACCGATGACCCAGCCCCAGTTGTCCTTGGCAGTAGCAGGCACAAATGAAATCCCGTGGGCACCGTTCGGCAAGTGCGAGTGACGGCCCTTGTTGCAGCCAGGCAGCAGAGTTTCTGCTCACCTCAGCAATCCCCCTCCAGATTCCCTGTTTGGACTCTACACGCAGCATCCTTCACCAGGAGGGTATAAACACAAATTCTGCCGTGCCTGGAGCGGGTCGATGCCCTGCATCTCGAAAAATCGGCCGCCATGGAGTAAGGACCTGCCAGTCGCCCTCTCGACGATGCATTCTACAGCCACCCCAGTCAGAGCGGCCGAGGGCTCGGGAACTACAGTACCAAGTTGAAGCTGCTATGTTCGCAGGATGCTCTCGCGGAAAGAAGCTTGATGTGATATCGTCGCTCAGCGGCTCAGTTAGAGAGCTGCACGAACGTTTCACCTCTTTCAGTCCAAGTTGCCACCTCGTCTCCCCAAAGTGTGGGGACACGAAGATACCGTTCTTCTGGAAATGTCTGCCAAGCATTTGTGGCTGGATGAGTACACCATCGAACTCAGCACTAATGTAATTTAGGGGCCACAAAAATTAGAATAGAGTTTTGGGACATGCTATACTTTTTTAATTTTGATATGGGGTTCCCCAAAATAGTATTGGTAATCATTTAGGCCCCTATCTTTCATTCACGGACATCTGTCGGTCAGAGAAGCGAGTCGAACGAGCCTCGTGGCACTTTGGCCAATCTCAGAACTTACCTACTACTATTATTATTATTACCTTTATTACTATGATTATTTAGGCCCCTATCTTGATCACCAGCCGAAACCTCGCCTCAGGCCCATGGAAGATGGCCGGCCGTGGTAAACCAGCCGCCAGCGGAAGTGTGCCACCTCCGAAGCTGTGCGGACTTCTGGCTACAACTCTTTGCCAGAAGTTATGGAAATAATGATCATGACATTGCCCACAATTAAAAAGTATTCAATCGTAATGAGACTTCACAACAATAGATATAAAACACTCATGATAATTAATACCGGTAACGATCATCACTAGGTGCAATGGTAATACGAATAATGCTAAAGAATAACGGCAATACTAGCAAGAATTTTAAAGTATGAGGAAGAAGAAGAATACCACGGCCTTACCCGGCCTCTGCCTCGGCGATGTGCTGTCTTTTGCTGTCCAGCTCTGCATAGATGTAGCATCGCTTCCTTAGAATCCAAGCATTGCCCTCGTCCCGCTCGGTTTAAGGTTTCAGGATTAGGGCTGGAGGTTCAGGGTGTGAGGTTTAGGAGTGTAGGTTGTCTTGTGATCACCCCTTTTTTGTCCCGGTGAGCCCAGTCGAATGCCACTTTGGTTGAGGCAGGCATCGGGTGGGGGACCTTCTCCTCATTGCAACCACTGGAATACCCCCTATAAGATCTGTGTTTTGGGGTTTAGGGCACTTCCTTCGGACTGCTGACAGGTCTCCACTTGCTCGGAATCCGCGCCGTGCCACTTTGGGCTCCTGGAAGTGTTGGGTTTGCTTTCAGCCACACATATGTTCCAAACAAGTGTCCAAGCTTTCCAAGTGTTTGATGTTGTTGAAAGGAATGTTTAATAATGGCACCCGAAGCTTGTGACCATTGCTCCCATCATGCATCTCTGCGTTGCTGAATGACCAGCGGCTTAGAAGCCTGACTTGTAGCTGCAAGACTGCTGCAAGCGAAGAACAACTGGGGCATGACAGACAGGCTGACCGGATGTCTCCAGTTTTACAACCCTGAGAAACAGCTGGGAATAAACACAGCTCGTGTGAAAACAGAAAAGCTTTCTGATGTTTCAGGGTGCCGAGAACTCAGCATCTGTATTTTGCAGGCGCCGCGGTGCGTGACATGCTCCGGAGAGAGATCAGATCTGATGCTACTTTCTCGCTGCTACTCCTGGAACGTGCGGGTTCGTCTCGTGAAGAGCGCGGAGTAGATCCGACTTCTCCTCAGCGCAAGCAGATGGACTCGCGCCAGTGGCCGCCGCAGAAGTACACACTACAGTAGCCAGCTTTTGGCTAAGCCGCAGTGACATGTGGTATCTGAATGTCCCGTCGTTGGAGGAGGGACTTGCACTCTGCCACGGAGAGCTTCAGGCCAGAGTAGTCGCCTCCGTGAACAGATCTTGTGGGGAACGTGCTTAGGAATTCCGCGACTGAGATGGGGTCTGTGTCCGGTTCTGTCGTAGAGGGCGTTTAATGTCGCGACCTCTGCGCCGCCCTGTACCTGAAGGGCGCTTGGTTGTGTCCACCGACGCTAGGTCTAGGTGCTGTTCAAACTTATATCTTCGGGGGCAGACAGCTTACTTTGCTGGGATTTTTTTACCCGACGACCGGGACACGCTTTTTTGCTGCGCATACGATGCTGCACTTCGGCTGCAGTGAGGAACTCCTGTCTGGATCATTGGATAGGGAAGCGTACCTACCCACAGGTTATCAACATAAGCCAGTTTCGGGAAGCCCTCAACAAAAGGAAGGCACAGGTGGCCTTGTAAAGTGAATTCATGCCGCGGAGGCCGCGTCCGAATGCCCCCTGCTTCTGAGTGGGGCACCGGAAGTTTGTCGGGAAGCTTCAAGCTCAAAGCTAGAGGAGTCATTGAGAAGGTGTAAGCTTTGCAGAAGCACTGCAAAAACTTGGGAAAATCAATGCCCTGGCGTTGCGCTCCTGAGCTTCCGCATCTTAAACGTGTGTGTCTGTAGATGTTCCTGCTCCGGTCTCTGATTCTTCTGATGGCAAAGCGGTGTACTCGGTGCCACCGCGGCTTAGCGTGATGGAGCATGGCTTCTCATCGCATGGCAACGCATCCCGGAGCTCCTCCATGAAGCTTCTGAAGTCCCCCACCTCCAGCTGCTGGCCTGTATGCCTCAGGAAGAACTCCTCCACGATCCCACTCTGTCCCTGCAAGCATTTCTGCGCATCCTTGGGGACACTTGCTCTGAAATCCCAGGTCCCATTCATGCTGGCGGTCTTTTGAAAACCCAAGGATTCCTACGTAAGTTGTTGGGGCGTGCACCGATACATGAAGGATGCTTATATGAAAAAGCAACCTTGCCTCGAGCGTTTTCATGTCCAAATCCTTGTCTGCCAGGTCGTTCTTGTTCAAGCTCTCGATCTGGTCCTTGGTTTTCTTGAACTCCTTGATGTCCTCAGTCAACTCAAGCACCTGATCCAGCTTATCGACGTTCCAGAGAATGACCAGAAGGGAGACTGTGTGGCACAACATCCCAATCATCACAGTAATGACCCGAACAAGCTCCATCGAGCAGGACCACATGCCCAAAGAAGAGCAGTGATCGCCTGTTCGGATCACGTGGAGCACGACGACTGCCTGGGATGCAGTTGAAACATGCTGCATTACTTGAGCTGTGAGCTGAACTTGCATAGGCTAAGGTAGTATATACTAGCAGTGGAAATACGAAGTCAAACATACCCGAAATCAAACCATGAAGCCATGTGGAAGTGGAACAGGAGGAGGGCCACGCTGCAGACAACACCGACAAGGACACTGACATATAAGGGCGAGTCGGTCAAATGTACGTATACCTGCAGCTTTGGTCAGGAACGCACATCCGAATTGCCCTAGACTGAAAGGATTCAAATCATGCCTTGATTCAGATGAAGAGTGTAAAGCATACACTGGCAATCAACGAGACGCCTTGTTGGCCTGCTTGATGTAGGGGTTCTCCTCTTGGGACGGAGTTCCGATGGTCACCTCTTCGTCCTCGGCATGGAGTGGCTCTCCGTGCACAAACGGCTGGATCTTCTCGAAGTAGTTCAGAACCAGCGACACTGGTCGCAGGAGGACCGCCTCTGGCTTGCTTTTCATGTCCTCCTCAGTCGGCTCCTGCAGCAGCTCTTTTAGCTTCTCGTCATGCGAAAAGGCGACTTGCGCGAGGCTTGATGTGAAAGGTGTCTTAGACGTTCGTCTCTTCTTTCTGTAACCTCTGGAGATGGAGCTGCACCAGGATTCAATTCCCTGAGCGAGCTGTTGGTCCTGATCCAGCAGCGGCCGGGCCGCTTCTGGATCATGGGCCGTCTTTGTCCGGGGTAACTGCAAGCCCCTGGCATGCTCGCTTTGTATCGTGAGGAGCTTCACCATGCTAGTTTGTTTCTGTTGCCTCAGTGTCTGAGTCAAATCGTAGAAGACGGCTTCTTGGTTGAATGCCAGGACCAGCTTCTCGAACTTCTTCATTGCCGGCTTGCGCAGACAGTGGAGATGGTTGGCCATCAGCTCAACAAGATTGCTGAATTCCTCCGTGCAGAACTGCTCGCATTTCTGGAGGATGTTGCGCATCTTGTGTATGTGGCCACGTACCTGCTGCACGAGCTGAATCTCAAGCAGCTCGCATAGCCGCTTGGCCTGAGATGTTGCGTGGGTCAGGGCAACGCCGATCTGGCTGTTCATGTCGTCAATGCACTGCTTCCTGTCCTGCTTTAACCGATCAAGATTCTTGTCAAAGTGAATCAATGCCATGACGGAGTGCCAAAACATCATCAACATCGTCAAGCCGCCCAGAAACTTTACCGAACAGGTATACTTGCCTGCACCCTCTTGGGTCCACGGCTTGTTCTCGAAGCATCGCAGCTCCATGACATCCAGGAGCCAGGTCAGCCCAAAAACTCCCGATATGACACTGCCGATGAAAAGCATAAGCCGGAGGAAGCTGAATTCCACAAGATGCTCCAAGTGACAAACACGAAGCCACCAATGCGCATCTGGCCATAGTCTCTCAAAAAGCGACCCCATGGCGTCAACCTGATGAGTGCTACTAGGCTGGTTGGGTCAGTGTGGAACTGTGTGCTGTTGCGGATGCCCTTGTTTCAACATGTTTATCCCACATGTGGTTCAGTGGCTTTTTGGTCCGCTCTTTTCGGAGTCGGTAGGCTACCACGCTACTCTAACTGGTTCGGGCCAATCCGAAAATCCCTGCGTGACTGATAAGGGGGATACCGGGCGGTGGCAAGCAAAGCAGAAGGTCTGCTTTCCCGACATGTTGTGGAATGACAAGGACTTGGGGGCATTCGTAGTGTCCCGGTGAAATCCAGGAGGCGGCTACTGGTTGTTCTTCTGCATGTGATGAAGCTGTAGAACGCCTACGGTTTAATCATGAACTCTCAAAGCAGGGGATTACTACAACTGTCCATGATTCTGCTTCGCAAAGAGAGCCTGCTTTTTCTTGCACGACTCATGTCATGTCCTGAAACCAGTAACCAGTATGGCAGTGGTAGGGCTCTCGCGATCTCAAGTCCGAGTCTTGCGTCTGTCTGGATTATAATTATTAGCGGCTGCTGGCGATCATAGCGACAATGGGCCGCTACGACTTCGAGTTATGCCTGCGATCATGGCTCCAAGTGTCGGGTTACAGGGTGCATGTTTAAGATTGTGGTCACATTGTGCTCTGGCCAGCAGTTCGAGTGTTTGGGCTGGAGCATGCTGTTGGACGCCGTGCTGGTCACATCTGCGGCGTCACCCGAGCAGGCACAGGACAGGAACCGTTCTTTCTTCCGAGTTGCCGTTTCGAAAGAGCTCCCCTGGCTTCATCCACTGCTTGCCTGGACAGACACATGGCGACCGGGGCAAGATGGCTCCACAATTGCAAAAATTGCAAAGGGGAGGGCCTAAAGCAACTCGAACAGCCCTACATGCTCCAAAAGACATGCTGAAGTTGAGCCGGGCTGCCGCGCCAACGATCTTGGCACAGGCTCTTCCAGGTGTCCTCGCAGACAAAGGTTCGCAGGCGCCGGACAGTCTCCAGAAGCAGCTACCAACTATGCCGAAACCGAGCTTCCCGGCCCCGCGCCGACGCGAATAGTGTCCGAAGAGCGCGCTGTGCGGCATGATTCCGACTGGTAGAACTGGGGAGTGCGGCATCGCGCCCAGTCATGCTTGGAGGGTGCGAGAGTTCTGTTCATGGAAACGAGCATCGAAATCATTGAACCCCCGCCGTGCTGGCATGCTTTGCATTATTGTATGCACGTTGAGATTGCATATCCACAAGTTATGTCCAACATCACATGCAGATGCTTCGGGCGAGGTGTGCAGCGACTGTCTTCACTCTCTGCGTCCTGCGACGTGCTTGCCCAGACTCAATCATGCAGAAGCACTAGAGAAGTGTTCTTTCAAAGCACACACGTGTCATCGGGAAAGTGTCCACCGACCTCGTCGTTCGTCAGGGACTGGAGCTTGCTTTGGGCTGGGGCGACCCGGCAAAGGTCAGCTGGAGAAAAGAAAGACAGCACCTGCCATGGGATCTGTGCCGAAAAGCCATGCACCACTTCAACAGTTGCCAGCCTTCAACCATGTCTCGTCCAAAAGAGGAGGCCTTGGCTTGACAAGCACGGCGCAAGTCAAGGGGATCTGGAGCGCAGGTTCCATTGTTGGCGTGATGGGCCCGGCACCCTTCGCCGGGCATCTGTGTTTCTGTCGTCTTGGTCTCATCAGCCTCTGTCGCGACGTGAGGCCTGCAGCCGATCTTTGAAGCCGTGCTCACTGCTGCCAGCTCATGCAATCAAAGTCTGCCGAGGACATCGAGCAGCTGAGGACCGGCAAGACACACGAAGAAGCAAGATTTGCATGTAAGTTAGAAAATCCTCTCAAAAACCCCAATGCCAAACTGGCAGGTAACAGCTACATAACGGCGCAAAACTGCTCTGTCGAAGCCAGCACGACTCGAGCACGAGCAGACTCCCCAAAGTACCCCGAGGACCCGCTCAGGCGCCTCTGCTCCTCGGCTGATCTCTCGGAAGCTTCCGAGAGAAGGAGCGGTGATTGCACCCTCGCGGCAAAAAAAAGTATGTTATAGTATAGTATACAGTATAGTACATATAATTTGTATATGTTATAGTATGGTATACAGTATAGTGTGTGTATATTATATATATATATATGTTAGTATATTAGAACATATACTCTAGTGTATTCTGGTCTAGTTCATTCTCCGTTTAGAACGGTGTGGCCAAAACAGATGCTGACAGAGATCTCGCTGACAGAGCTGCATCCCCTTCTGGACCCTATCTTTCCTCTGCTCTGGTCAGAACCAGGCACTTTGCACAGACGATGTGGCACTCGTTGCAACTTCATTTCGAGCTCAGGCAGCGGCTCCCTACCAGGAGCAAACCTCCGCGTGGAATTCCATCCCAGCCCACTCCCACACTTGGACAGAAAGTCTCTGAGACGCCTGGCACCCGGCGAGGTCCCCAAGCCCAAACGGGCGGCTGCACGGCGCAGCAGAGGCCAAAGCCAAGCAAGTAGGGACATGAGAGGGCAGGGGCGGGGAGGGCGTAGGGGGTTTGAGGACCTGAACCTTCAGCCCTACACGACTACAGGTTTGTCCCGGAGCTTAGCCACTGATACAAAGGTGGCTTCTGCGAAGCCTGGGCCGATCTTTTGTCTGGTTACGGCACTGCTGCACCCCTGGCAGTGTACTATTATTGCGGAGATGCCAGCTTGAAAGTCTGCCAACTGAACAACAGCACCCCAATGATGGCCAGACGATGGGCCTACCTCGATCTGCACTTCCCGAGAACAAGTTTGGACAGATCAAGAAACGATATTGGAAAGATGGCCTTTCGATTCTTCTGGTAGTCACTGTCTTGATTGCACCTCTGTTCAAAAAGGCGCAAAGAGCCTTGATCGCTTCAAGAAGCCTCCAAGGCGACAAGCGGATTCAACACAGAACAGCTGCCTTAATCACCCCCGAACCCCTTTGCGAAGAGCAAGATGGCGATGGTGTCATGAAGGTTTAGGCGCACTGGAATCTTTATAGCTTGTGGAAGTGCCTCAAACAGTGTCACAAGTGCAGCTTTCCGCCCTCCAAACCAGCGACTCTGACACTACGACCAGCTGGCACGATCACATCCATTGTCGGTGCAGATGCATCATGGAAAGACGGTCCCCGGTGCAACACCAAAGAACTGACAATGCACTCGGCAGCGGCGTCGGAAAGTCTGGAAGGAAAGGCATGGCAAACCATGACTCGCCACTGGCCAAGACTCCTTTTCGCGCACTGCGGAAGGTCCCAAGCCACGGAAGACTTCGGCTGCTGGCCCCTACGACGTATCGTCAGATACTACAGTTCATCGAAATATCAAAGCCTGGCGTCTTTGTCGGGTCTTCTAGTTTCTGTTCCAGGGCACAGCCATGCCGCAGTCGATTGCAGCCAGGGGGCTTCGAAGACCCCGATTCTAAAACTAAAGCCAGGAAACGGTCACGGATGACATATTCTGGTTGTAGCTGCCCGAAGCGGAACGAAGACAGACAGCTCCGGTCCCCAGTTCGGCCACTGCCTGGTGTTCGGAAACCCCAAAGCCTAGATTCCTTAGCGAACCAAGCTGGTGGCCAGAGGAGACAGCTTGGGGAGGAAGGCGCTTCCTTCATGGGCTCTTATCTCACAAGACTTGGCTTTGGCAATGTCGGACCAACCATCTTCCCGCATTGTGAGACGGCGAGAAGCCTCAGGGACTCTACCGCGGGCCCTTCAGCCCTTCAGTCTGCTTGAGCACGCGCAGCGCTGGCCTGCGAGTCTGGGTGAAGCAGGGCCAAGGGCTCTGAAGTCCGAGAAGGCTCCACGACGTCTTCGACGGGCTTTGGGACGAAATCAGTTAATAATGTGATGCAGCATAGTTTTTAGTTTAGTATAGTATAGTACAGTATAGTACAGTTGAATATAGTATGGTATAGTGTGGCATGGTACTGTACTGAGGGCCCAAGACTCCTCGGGCATAGAACACCTCGAGACCGAGTCACGGTTCGGCCCGTCAAAGCCACTCTTTTGTTGGCGTAGCAGGTTCCTAGTAGGATTACTTTAAGGGTACTGTTGACTGAAAGGTACGATAAGGTTTCGTTTCAGGGTACTAGACACAGTACTTAAAGGCATTTAAAGGGTACTATAAGGATTGCTACAAGGCTTCTGGGGTTCCGTCCTGACCCAATTTTAGCAGAGCTTTTACGCCTGGTGTTGTGATACCCAAGAGCCAGTTGAGAGTCGTGGGAACCTAAACCCATGAGGACATATGCTATCGACGTTTAGGGCAACGCCGAAAAGGCTAGCACGAGATGACGGATACCCTTCTTTTGTATGGGAAGAAAGCGCATCGCGCCGGGTCCGTCGCCTCCGCCCAAAACTAGGCTGGCCGGCGCCGGGGAAGCTTTGAGCTACCCGACGCGCCGCCCGTGGGCGGGGGACGACCCTCAAGTCTTTCAGCAAACGGCTTCGCCGATACTGGGGAGGCCTCCTCCCCACTCCCAACACGAGGGTGGTAGAGGGTGGGCCGAAAAAGCGACGTCGAGCCGGAGCAGCTGCCGGCACGACGAATCGCTAATGTCCATGCGCACACACGTGTGCTACACGACATATGCTATCGACGTTTAGGGCAACGCCGAAAAGGCTAGCACGAGACGACGGATACCCTTCTTTTGTATGGGAAGAAAGCGCATCGCGCCGGGTCCGTCGCCTCCGCCCAAAACTAGGCTGGCCGGCGCCGGGGAAGCTTTGAGCTACCCGCCCGGCGCTCCCCACCCCCACACAGCGCCGGCACAGCCGAACTACCGGAAAACTCAAATCGCACAAGCTCTCAGCTCCGCCGCCGCTCCGTGGATGGCGAACTCGAGGTCGCCAGCGGTCTTGGCCAGGACGGCGCAGATTCTGGCCGCCGGCGTGCGCACTCTGGTCCAGCCCATCGCCTCGGCCGTGGCCAGGTCGCCGCGGGACACCGCATCCGCCACATTGGCCTTGGAAGGTACCCGCCGGAAATCGGGCAGCCAGTTCATCTCCGCTGCTTGGGACCAGAACGCCGCCAGGACGCCGTTGACCGCGGGGTCCCTCCCGTAGCCCTTGGTCAGGGCCCACTGGCCGGCGACGTTGTCAATGAACGCCAGCCAGCGTTCCGGCAACCGCCGCGCCAGCGTTGTCAACGCCAGGACCTGGGCGACAATCTCCAGCACATAGATGAAGGCCCGCCTGGAGCCGAACGCCACCAGGAAGGAGGACGGCGCCTGGCCGTAGTCATAGTAGGTCTCGCCGCCGACTCTGACCACGTATCCCCAGCCGTTCTTGCCGCGTGCCCCTTTTGGTGTGGGCAGGTCCGCCGGCAAGAAACCCGCCTTGTGCTTGACCTCGCCTGGTTGGAAGAACGCGTCCGCGTACACCAGGGCCTGCGGGGCGCCGTCGTCGACGAACGGCACAAAACGGGGCCGGATGTTCCTGAGGAGCTGCCGGAGTGCCCGGAGGGCCGCCGCCAACCCCAGCGACAGTTCTGGGGACGACTCCGCCGCCGCGTCGTGAGCTCTGGCGTAAAGCGGCTTCAGCGCCGCCTTGCCGAGGCAGCCGAATGTGGACTGGGACGCGAAGCTCAGCCTGCCCGCCAGCTTCTGCGCCGCATGTGGCTGAAGGGCATTCGTCTCCAGCGCCGCCTCGATGGCCCGGAGGAGCTTGGCCACCCTGGAGGGGGTAGGCCGTTCCACTCCTTGGACCACGTGCCGGGCCGCCGGCTCCTGGGCCTTCGACGGTTTGGTCTGCAGGCCGAGCTCCAGGAAGAGGTCCGCCAGGGAGTGGAAGGCCGACTCCGCGAGCTCCGGGAGGTCGACGCCGTTGAAGTCGTCCACAAAATGGCCGCCGACCAGCCACAGCAGGACGCGGGTCAGCGCCTGCATCGCATCCGCGGCCCTGTTAAAATTCCAAACCGACGCCGCGGCTCCGAAACACATGGCCAGGTGAAACCAGAGTGTCAGCCCAGCCGGTGTCGCCAGGAACGTGCCGGGTGCCGGACTGCCCACTGCCGGTAGGCATTGAGCAGGTCGTGCCCGAACAGCCTGGCCGCCGGGACCCCACGATTTCCTGCCAGTTCCACCACGCGCCGGATGAAGTCCACCACGTCGTCCACGAAGTGGTGGGTGGGAACGTCGCGCGCCAGGATCGTGGAATTGTGTCCCGAGCGCCGCCAGTCTTCCCCTCGACGCACTTTCGTGTTCCCCTCGCCGTCCTCCTGCACGATGGCAAAGGACGCCGCGGCAAAATGGCGGCCCGGGGGCGGCGGTACCAGCCGGTCGGCGCCGGGCGTGTTCAGCACCGGCACGGTGACAATGTTCCATCCCGCCGCCCTCAGCTCCAGGACGAACTCCGCCGAGCGCAAGAACAGGCTGCCACTGTGGCCAGCCTCCGCGCCGATTTGGGAGAAATCTTGGCAGGGGGGCGCCGCGACGAGGAGGATCACACACTCACCGGCCGGGTCCAGGCGCTTGCCACTTTCTCCACCGAGTCCGCGGTGAAGTCGCCCCTCTGCCGGAGCCAGGGCTGTCCGAGCCACCCTCATCGCCGCGGTGCTGGTGCTGCTGTTGCGCCTGGCGGGGGTTGTTGCGGCGCCGCCGGTTCTTCTTTACCTTCTGTGGCCCGGGCCCGGGCTGGTACCCCTGGTG